TCTATCGAATATATAGTTGGTAACCAAAAATGATTACAATCAATATATTAGGTGTAGTAAAAAGAAAACCATTATTTTTCTATTCAATTTAAAATAATGGATTTCTTTTTACTACATCTAATACATTATAGCTAAATACTTTTTGGGGCAATCATATAATATAATTGTCCTAAAAATGACTGTAAATTATATAATAATTTCAATCATTTTATGATAATAATAACTGTAATTACAGTCATTTCAATTTCTATATATTTGTTGACAGAATTATACATACATATTAATTATTATTACTTATTATTATAGTTATTATTAAAAATACTATATCATATTTATAATAACATATATTTACAGTTACAAAATTACTAAAAATTTTTCTCTCAGTGTATGCATTCTGAGTGAGGCAATTCAACCTACAAGTTTTTCAAAAAAACAAACTTGTTCGTTAAAACTTGTTCTGTCGCTACAATTAATGTGTATATCTTTACTGCTCGATATATATACGAGTTTTATAATCAAGCTTTCAATTTTAGAAATAACAGTGATGATCGTTTATCATATCAAATGGTTTCCCCAGTCACGGTCGCATTAGATTCCAATTAGGGTGCGATCGATAATGACCTTTGACATTCAAAATTTTATGTAGCGTGCTATTCGCGTTGATACATTTTGTGAAATTGCCATCTCAAAGTACACATTCGATTATTGATAGAATAGAAATAATAATTATGACGATACAATTTGACTAATTAGATAATTCAAATATCGGTGATAGAAATTATATAATATATATTAATTAATTGAATTAAATAATAATCGCAATAATAAATGATAATTATAGCATGTAATAATAGTATGTAATGACCGGCTTTTGAGGGAAAGAGAATGCAATGCTTTATAGAAAAATATTTAACAAAATATGCTTGTAAAAAATTTTCACGGCCGCCGTGTACGATTCGAACTTTGATAATATTTCGCAGACATATGATTAATAATAATATGCTAACAATAAATTTTGTAAACAGTCACGCTGAATGTATCTCACATAAGATACTGAAATTCAAAAAAAGTTATACGAACAGTACGAAAAATTACGCCCACATTAGAAAATTAATCATAATTAATCAAATCTCTGCAAAGAAAAAGAAAAAAAAATAAAACGCGGGAAGAAATTGCTTGATGATCTCAGGTACCGAATCGAGTAACCCTGGGAATGACTCAGGTCGAGAAGGGAAAACCATCAACTACTACTACCCGAAACGGGACAAAAGGCAACCGCGGAGTCGAGCCGGTTGCACCGCCGGCGCCGTCGGTTAGCCTTTAATCTCTCCTCTGTATCTTTATTATAGTTGTGATTGTACGATGAGGAGGATTGTGTGTAATAGGGGAGAAGAGAATATTGCTGGCCGATTGAATAGCCAATCAAAACGATCGATACAGCTGATCAACCCCATGGGACGTTTGTACTTTATGACGTTAAATCTGCTCTTCTTAGTTATAATCTAACACCTTCTCTTATTCTTTCGCTCAAAGTACGAATATGTGTCTTTGTCACAGAGAGAAAGTTAAGGATAAAGAGTGTACGATAAAAAAATTAAGTCTATTAGTCAATAAGGTTAATAATTTATTACGTGTTTTCTTTCTGCATAAAAACACATTCTTTATATATATATATATATATATATATA